TTCGCTGTTTACCCAAAGATTCACAGCCCTACCTCATACCTATATTTCTACAGTTCTCACCTGACACACTCTCGCTCTCTCCCGCACACACAAACCAATTAAGAACTAGTCCACACACGTTTTAAATTATTTTTTTAATGTAAACACGCTTAACACAAATGTATTTTTTACGTTTAGTGCAAGAGCTCCTCGCTTGTGTTCTCTCCTCTGTGTTGTATCTCGCATTAATGCGCAAAACCCATTCTAAAATGCAACTGTCAAAATAACTTTTAAAAAAACATCTCTACGGCTTTCGTTTTTTCCATTCCACTGCCCTGTGTCTAGCGTTTTTAAACGCAAAAGGCATTCCATGTGAACGGCCCCTTTAAATGCTTTGTCTACAGCACCGTACTAATCATTTATTTGACGGCATATGCTTTGTGCTGTTTTACAGGCCTATTCAATGTCTATAAATGTAGAAAAGAAAGCCCCTGCTTCCTCATATGATAGTCGCCACTATACATTTTAAATGACTCCAAAGGCCTTTGTTTTATCTGAAAGGTGATTTGAGTGCCTATTTTAAGTGTTGCCCTGATAAGATTCAAAACATAAGAGCTGTGTTGTGAAGTGAGCTGAGGAGAAACATGACAGTGTGACAGCAGCATGTGATAAAATCACAACACTGGGGCTTAACCAAATATTACATATAGCCTACCAACTTCCCCCAGTTTGGGGGCTGGTGTTCAGATTGTTGTCCCAGCTGTTATGGTGACTGTAACTATGTATGAAACTATATTTTCATAATGTTTAGAACATGGAGAAACAAACCTGAACAATCATGTGCACAGGAGCCAAGATACTTTTTAATGTTCAAGATCACCTGCATTGAGCTGTATTTCAAAATGGCAGCATAAAAGTATACTCTAAAAAATGCCAGGTTAAAAAGGGACAAACCCAGCTATTGGGTTGTTTTGACCCAGCGGTTGAGTTCAAAACAACCCAACCGCTGGGTCAAAACAACCCAATAGCTGGGTTTGTCCCTTTTTAACCCAGCATTTTTTAGAGTATAGACCTACTTAAAATCAACATAAAGTACAAATAAATATCTAGCTCTCTCTCAGATATATTTAACAGAATAATGATGAGCTGCAGTAGATTCTCTCTCAGAAGTAATTTCTTCCTTGAGTTTTTTTTTTCTTTCTAAATCCAAACCTGCCCTAACACAGCAGTGAGACACTGGAAAAAAATCTATTTATAGACATTGATTTCACTGGGTGAATTGCTGGTGATGTCATCTAGTCACTTAGATACTGTATCTGTATGCGGTTTTTCTTCTTGATATAACTCCACCCCTGTATTTCTATGAAAAGTTGCATCAATTCTCATTAAAATGATCAAGTGATTTTGGTGTGAAGGAAGTGGTGTTTATTAAAGCAGAATATTGGATAACCCAATGATTACTGCGGTTTTGTGAACTTTTCTCAAACTTAAAAGCCAGAGAAGAACACTTTTCTTAGAAATAAAATCCAGAATAATCAATTTTTTTATCAGCTGACTTCCAGTAATGGATTGCCTATATTTTTGAGCACCTATGAATCCTGATCATGTAACCTGGGTGTGGTGTTTGATTTCCTGTAATAAATGATGCCTGATACGGGAAGAGCATTTCTCCAGTCGTTCCTAGAACTGAAGAATACAGAGTAAAGTTTTAGCTTATTCTTAGAAGTGTCTTCGGTTTCTGACAGTGGAATGAGACAATTCAATAGAAATGAGCAATTTGACAACATCATTTACTTAACTTAATTTACTTAACATAATTTACATTAAATTAACAATCCGCATTTGTTATCAAAACAGGTAACACTATCTTCAGAACCTGTTGCATAAGAGATGGAAGTTGACACTGACAAACATTGTGATGTTCAACACTTCGGACAACTACGCTAAGATTACATCAACAGCATGGATAGTAAACTGACGTGATGTATCTGACTGCCTGACCTTTCTTTCAAAGCCAGCGATATTCACATCAGTAGATATCAGATAAGATCAATAACAGAAGTCTCTCAGATTCAATAAGCTTCTTTGTTTATTGGTGTGCCAGCATGCTGGCTGTAGCTGACTTTGTTACAGGAATACTTATTTTTAAATGATATTGTCTCTGACTAGCATTCATGGAATGATGCATATATGAATCATTTCGTCTAGTTCATCAAAACAGGATCTGTAATATTCTGGGAATAACCTATTAAAGGGATAGTTCACCCAAAAATGAAAATACTGTTATTAAATACTCACCCTCATGTTGTTCCAAACCCGTAAGACCTTCGTTCATCTTCGGAACACAAATTAAGATATTTTTGATGGAATCCGAGAGCTTTCAGACCCTGCATAGACAGCAACACAACTACCACATTGAAGGCCCAGAAACGTAGTAAGGACATCATTAAAATAGTCCATGTGACATCCGTGGTTCAACCTTAATTTTATGAAGCTACGAGAATACTTTTTCTGCACAAAAAAACAAAACAAAAAAAAACTGATGTCGGTTGAACCACTGATGTCACATGGACTGTTTTACCAATGTCCTTACTGCGATTCTGTGCCTTTGCCATGGTAGTACCCTTGCTGTCTATGGAGGGTCAGAAAGCTCTCGGATTTCATCAAAAATATCTTAATTTGTGAAGATGAACGACGGTCTTACGGGTTTGGAACGACATGAGGATGAGCAATTAATGACATAATTGTCATTTTTGGGTGATTTAAAAATCTTTTTTTTAACTTTTAAATTTATGAGTGATCTTGAGAAGCTTTTGAAGCCAGTAGAGATTTGAAATTCAGATACTGAAATGTGATAATGGGCTGATAATGAATAAGGATGGTGAAGAAATGTACAAGAGCTGAAAGAGCAGGTGGTGGATTTTGATAAACATTGTTAAATAAATATAAAAACAGTCAATATACAAATATGAAGATCTTATTAAAAAGGTTAATCATTGAAAAAGATGTCATTAATTCCATAAAGATTATTTTACACCAAGAGCATGTCAATGTGCACATATATGAGGGCTTTATATGCCACGATTCAAGAGGTAGCAAATAATGGTCTTGTGTGTATAAAGGTGACACGATGACCTTTCAAAATGGCACAGTACTTAACAAACCTTTGCCAAACATTTGTCTCTAAGCCTCAACCAGAGCCAGACACAAAAAAATCTAGAACCAACAAAGCTCTAGTCCTAAAATCAACTGTCAGCCTATGTTCTATCAAAACATACCATGAAATTCCAGTGTGGGCGTCTTCATTGTATTACTACAATGAAAAGCCTGTTTCATAATTCTTAAATATTTGCAGACCTTTCAAACAGCAGCATTTTCCTGTTTAATTTTTCATTTACATGAAAAAACTAGCATTCAGTTTGTGAACTTTTCAAACTGTTCAAAGTACAGATATCTGATATAATGTCAACCAAATTTAAATGTAGTTTTAAACAAACTAACAATTTCTTAGTAACATGCAAATTCTTTTGACTGAGTTAAGCAGGGCCTAGATTTGTTCAGTCTGACTGTGTTGTTGAGACTTCAGAGAATTTAAACCAGAACCTGGAGCTGGTCAGTGAAGGTAAAGGTAGAAGTCAAGTATCCTAATGTTGAACTTCAAGATTCAAAGAGAAGAAAATATGAAAGTATGATAAATTTGTTGAAATTTAAGAAGGACAGTGAAACACACATAAGATTTATAACCCAAACCAATAAGCAATTAGTATCTATTTAAAATATTCTTTATGCATTCTGCTCATCAAATATTGCATGCTAAAATATTCATCAAACTATTTTCACTAGACCAAGTAACTCATAGAATATTGTTTGTATTGTAATGCAGTTTGTGCTGCTGTCTTTCAAATACAATATATATTAAAACAGGACTAAACTTGTCTTTTCAGTTCAACTTGCAGGTTTAACTTTGGCCTGCTATGTGCTCAAATGTAAACATTGCAGTCCTTCCTTCATTTTCTTTATGGCACTTGATGGATTAACACCCAGACTGCTCATCTAAAAACGTTTATCATAAAAAAAGAACAAGCAGCAGTTTGGAAAACAAAACTCTCCTATGCAAGGGTGAACTGTGTCCAGTGAAGAATCCTTGCTAAGCAGTGCTCTTTCTGTTCAGGATGAGGGAGTACAAGGGTGGGCAGCATTGTAGGTTTCCCTAAAGCAATTTAGGTGTCTGGTTGTACACAGTCTAAGGTTTACTGGCACAGACAAGGCATATGGAACATGCACTAAAAAACCTAGTCAGTGAATTTGAATTCAGGATGCATTACATAAACCACAGGGAAAAAGTATGGAAGCATATAGGTAGCGAAATTCAATTTAAAATGCAATATGCAAAATGGCAATGCTTTGATTTTAGCATGGAATACGCTTCATATATTTCTCTGTTCACGCTCCACTTCATCTGCCAGTGAATTCAACGATCTTATCAGATCTCCAGCCGCCATGTTTCAAACGATCCAAACGTAACACGCTTCCGCCAATCCCTGCCTTGAAGCAATGATTGACGGAGGGTGGGCGTGGTCAGCTCGGAATGCATTTTCAAATTGAATTTTGCTACAAATATCCCACGGCGTCATGATGAAAATGCAATCCTAAGTGTTCTAACTGTTAGTCTAAATGCATTTAGGACAAATAGCATTTAAATGATCATTATGCTACCATTTCTGCTTGGACATGTTACACATATCAAATCAATTTGTGTTATACATTTTCATTTTAATTTCGCAACTTATAAAGCGTTCAAATTTGCATGCAATTTACATATTAAGACTACTGTTGGAAATGGCAAATGTAAATTATATAATTTAATTTTCATTTTACTTTTGCACCAAACTTTGCACGTATGGGTAATGGAAAATGTAAATTTAAATACAGAAATACAATGCCATTTTGAATATTGCATTGCCATTTTGCATATTGCATTTTAAATTGAATTTCGCTACCTATATGCTTCCATAAAAAAGAGGGTATGGAAAGTTCCAACAGTTGGCTTCAACACGTGCTTTCTTCTTCTTTGATGGATTTTTTAAATAATTGATGCCCATGTGAAACTCATGATGAGTGTTATGTGTCACATTATCAGTAAACTGTTTGTTGAATAGGTCTCTTAGCTGGTGGAGGGATGCCCTGAGTTTCACGCTGATGGTCCTTGGGAGGCCAGTTTTGGGTGAATGGCATATTAAAGGAGAGAGAGGCTCAGATTGGCAAATCCATATGTCAATCATCTTTTGGCCTCGCCGAACAACACTGTACCCAATCTGAAGCACCTTTCCTTGGCAGAGCCTCTCACATTCTCAGCTTGAGAATGACCGTTGCCAGCATAAGGAAGAATGTGTTCCAGCCCAGAGTGACTGCAAAACCTCGCCAGACCATCATACAGGACAGACCCCAACCTGAATGTGAAATAAGAGAATCGTAAGAGGATCACTACCAGAACATGAAGACAGAAAACAAATCGATGTATATTTAAGGAAACTGTTCAATATTAAACACTTAAATTTGTGAAAGCCTCATGAACCATCTGTTTAATTGACTTTTCAACACTACATACACATGATAGAGGGGAGCATTTAGGACAGCTGTTGAGTTAACCTAACTTTATGTAGATAGTAAAAAATCTGGTTCTACAAGACAGTCACAGGTAAAATTGAGGAAGACAATAATTACTCTTTACAGTATGTACAGACTCCTCCCAGAGCAGTGTTAGTTTAATATTATTCATAAACTATTATAGTATTTATTAATGTTTTAAATTAGCTTTTATTTTTATACTTTCAGTTTTCATTACATTTTATAGTTTCTAGGTTACATATGTTGTCACATTTTTGATGTAACCTCTAATTTTTTTCCAATTTTAGTACTTCCATTTTAACTTAGGCTACTTTATTTCACTTAGTTGTCAAGGCAACAGTTCTAATTTTCGTTTACATTTTGTAAGTTTAAGTCATCAAACATTTATATTTTATTTCAGCTTTATATCAATTAACACATTTTTTGGAATAGGTTTAGTTAACAATAACACCGCCCCAGAGCAATGTCATTGTGGCGTCATAATCAAAAACCAAAGGGCTCAGGTAGATTAATGAAGGGGAAAACCATGTTTCTGTATAGTCTGTACAACATGACCAGTCTCAGCTCTGATCTAGCCTGTACAGTATCAGCAGTAGAGATGCGTGGATGAGCTAAAAGTCAGCCGAATCCACTGCTTCAAATAAATGATCCACCCGCACCTATATTTTTCTCTGATTTAGATAACCGACCTGACCCGCACCCGATCGTCACATTACAATGATTCTAATTAGACTAATTCTTAGTTTTGCATGATGATATGATGAATAGGTAGTTAATTTTTAACAGCAGATTCAGTGACGTGAGAGCTGATCTGCGCATCACTGCACACATCTGTGGTGTGTTACGGCTCCACGGCCACCGGAGCTGATCCGACCACTAGGGCTGGGCGATATGTCAAAAATATCTTATCGAAAATTGCCTTTAAAATATATCGCAATATCCGATAATATCGTCTACCCAAGCCCCACCTCAACCACGCCCTGCCCCCGCCGAGACAACATTGCTGACATGCACCATAAACACACACCATAAACGACCCACCCGCAATTAATTAGAATGTATTTGTTTATTACCCGACCTGCGGATACAACTGCCATCCGCGCATCACTAATCAGCAGTCAATTAACATGTTTGAACTGGAACTTTGACTGTGTGTTGTCATCTGAGCCTCTCACTGTCTAACTAACCGGTTCCCGTTCGTGAGCAATGCTGGCAGGTAAACAACAGGGAAGCTGTGTTTAATTTAGGAATGGAGGCAGATGCTCCTCCTGCTCCGTGAATAATTGAGAGAGAAGAGTGTTAGGTGTCGTGAAGTCTGCTGTAACTCAAGATGTTTGTATCAGAGGGAAAATGTTAGCTGAGTGGGATTTCAGAGAGAATTGTTGTGCGTGTGTCGGTTGAACACATCACACAAGAGATGTTACATATCTGAGGTGTGCGGGTAGGGCAGTCCATTTGAAATGTGTGATGTGATGATAGAGACACGCTTCAGACACTCCGTTTCCGTCTCCACAACTCAACAACCACTACAACCTAACACACTATTTGTCATGTTTTTATGTACACATTTGAGTTTGTGATTTATACAGTCTCCTAAAGGGATGTCAAAATGACAAATGCTTTTTATACCAAGTTGTTATTAATATAAAATAGTATTATTTGTTACATTAGATCATAAATATATATACATATTTATATAAATATTAATTAAATACATATATATTAATAAATAAAATTACTGACAAAATTATAAATGTATAAGATACTTGTTATTATAAATAAATTATAATTAAAATGATAAATGTATTGTCTTATCAAATAAAAAAATAATAATTTTGTTAAAATAAATATATTTATATTTCTAATAAATTGTAATATTTATTATTATTATTATTATTATACACTATAAATAATAGATTTATATCATAAGTTTATTGGTACCGGTGCTATATTAAATGAGTGTGTTTGCATGAGTGCACATACTCTACCTCTGTACATGATGCAGCGCAGGGCTTCAGATGCGTAGGTCTGGGGCAGGACTAGACTCAAATAACGCAGAGGATACGGGATACACTCAACCGGCCAAATAACACCTACAGGAGGTAAATGACTAATTTCATTCATGTAAAACTCTAATCTGTAACATCATCTACATATGTATATTTTTAGTAGTTACTAGTGTGTTTGTGTTACTTCAGCAGGCCATAAATGACAAATGTTACCCTGGACCACAAAACCAGTCATAAGGGTAAATTGAGATTTAGACATTATCTGAAAGCTGAATAAATAAGCTTTCCATTGATGTGTGGTTTGTTAGGATAGGACAATATTTGGCCGAGATACAACTATTTGAAAATCTGGAATCTGAGGGTGCAAAAAAATCTAAATATTGAGAAAATCGCCTTTAAAGTTGTCCAACTGAAGTCCTTAGCAATGCATATTACTAATCAAAAATTAAGTTTTGATATATTTACAGTAGGAAATTTACAAAATATCTTCATGGAACATGATCTTTACTTAATGTCCTAATGATTTTTGGCATAAAAGAAAAATCTATAATTTTGACCCATACAATGTCTTTTTGGCTATTGCTACAAATATACCCCAGTGACTTAAGACTGGTTTTGTGGTCCAGGGTCACAAATGACAAATTAGATGGTGGGTTTTAATGTGAATTATGACCGGTAAGTGGGGTCAAGGCCTCACTAAGGAGAATTTCCTTCCATTTCTTTACAATAATCATCTATATTTCCTTTCCATTTTCATCTCATCCATCAATCATCATTCCCTCTGTTTATTCCACTCCACTATCAATCCACGATCCATTAATCCACTAGACACACCCAGATAGTATGGCCCTAATACAGCTCTTATTATATTTTCTGGACTGCACCATTTTGGGATGGAGGGAGAAATGACAGACAATCTTAACATAGAGGGCTGCATCAATACAAAAGAGTGAGGTTTAAGGGTAACTTAAATATAAATAATAGCAAGTAAAATAAGCCACAGCGTAACCTTATCCTATCTAATTTATTTTTTAACATCTGTGAGATCAAACAGTGTACCGCTAATGATGAGGTTGGGGTAGAAGATTCCAAGAGCTGCCTGATTGGCCGACTGTTCGTCATCGATAGCAGAGGAAATGACCAGTCCAAAGGAGATTCCCGTCACTCCCTGCAGCACAATCAGTGAGATCACCAAAGCCAGAGATCCTTCATTAGGAATCTGCAATAGAGAAAGAGACATGAAAAATATGGTGACAATGATAAAAATATTATGAAAGAGCTGTATTCCAGTTCACAGCATCCATATGAATCACACAGGGTATGATGACACTTTCAGATATGAAATAATGTATGTAAATATAAAATATAAGTGATCCTGCTCAATGTTTTTATGTGCATTATATTTACATGTGCATGTATTATATTTTTTCATCATACTATAAATGCACTCTTAAATGTAGAGTTAATTTACTATTGTATAATTGAACAAATTACATGTGAGAAAAAAAAGTACTCAAGAAGTACAGAATGACTACTGGGTAATTTTCCCTCTCCACTTCCTGTGAAGTGCTATTTTAGTCCCTGCGCTGTTCTTCAGATCGCACCCCTGACATAAAGTGTCAAATATACCATTTTAACATAATGTTGCAAAAACAATACATATGTGTAATATTTAACAATAGGTTGTTTTTAAACAGTGATTCAATCCTATAATGTCTGAACATACCGGCATGACACAGACATCATAAGAGATTGTGAAGCTCACAGCTCTTATTGGCTGATTACACAGGACATGTAAGTCAGTGTAGCATCTTTACTGCTAGAGTTACACATCAGAAATAGAATCGCTAATCTACAGCGGGGTCTGTTACCAAAGCAATCCCTTTGTTGCCACGGTGGTCAAGCACAAATCACTAGACACAAAGCAAGGAATTATTTATGAATAAATTAACTTACATGGCTCAGTCCCAGGGCTGTTTCTAAAATTCACAGAGCACAGGATAATTGACAGACCCTAATTCAGGATTTCCCAAACTTTTCCATTCCACTACCCACCTAGACAAGTATAATCTATTTCACGACCCACCAAAATATTTGAGATCAACAAAACAACTGACATTACTTTAAGCCTAATCTTAATTAAAAGTTTAAAGGGGTCATATGATGCTTTTTTAAAGATCATTATTTTGTGTATTTGGTGTAACAGAATATGTTGACATGCTTTAATGTTCAAAAAACACATTATTTTTCAAATACTGTACATTATTGTAGGTCCTCTATGCCCCGCC